GAGCAATAATTTTGACTGCTTTTTGAGAGCCTTCTCTACTACTGTTTGCAATCCATAGCCAGTGTTTCACTTTTGCGATTTTCAGTAGCTTAACCACTTTTCTGGAGCCTCTTTTATAAGATTTTGGTTGGTATGGCAACGGATGCAGCCTGTATCGGTGTTCACACACGAACTGCATATCTTCTCCAGTAGGAGAGGCCTGTTTTTGTTGATAGTTGTGAAGTTTGGTGTCGATGGCATTCTATAATTTTTCTAGAAGCATTTTGACCCACACTGGTTTTGGGCGTATTGCTTCCTCAGACTAACGAGTTGATTCCCTCTCGCTCTTTAGTGTCACCATAATGATTGCTGAAACAGAGACATGACTAGAAATGTTCCCTGTACATATTTCTTTGATTCTATAGGTAGTTAGTGTGTCGATATGGCTAGTACAAATGTATATAGTCAATTTGAGATGTATAGAGTCCCAGGAGTGATGATACACAGCAAAAAGTGCAACGCATGTTTTACGTATGTTTTACGTATGGAATACGCATGTTTTAGCCAACATGCGTTATATAACGGCTGTACCAAAACGGGTGTAAAACGCCTGTTTAGAAACGGGCGTAATACATCACGTACGTAAAACATACGTTTTACATGTGTTTTTCGTGCGTTTTCATTATATATTTTTGTGTAACGCAGCCTTTTTTTTCCAAATTAAACTTATTTAACATCCATTTTAAAAACATTTAACTTCAAGAGAATTTCACGTCAAATTGGTCAGGTTATTTTTTTCACAGGATTTATTTTCAATTGTTTCTCATTTTTAAGAGAGCATATATATAAATGGTGTCTAAGCTGATAAAAAAAAAATAACAACAGCATGCTGCAAACATAAATATTTCATAAAGGTTTATCTTTTCATGCTAAACCTTTTAGTACAACATCCTCCTTTAAAAAGCTATTGCAAGTATTATTAAAACTCGACTTTTACACATTACATACATGTGAATCAAGAATTTTAAAAATGCATGTCAAAATGTTCAGGAAAAGTAAACATAAATGAAAGAAATTAATGTGAAATAGTAAAACATTCATTTTACAAGAGAAAGTTCACACAAATTTTAAACATAATTACCAATACGTATTCCACAATTAAAAAAATGTATCTTTTCAAACTATTCTTGTTTCTCAAGATTAGTTTCATTTTACTTAAAAGGTATACTTACAGAGACATACATGTATAATGTACAATTGCATTACAATGTATATGTCTCTGATACTTGTATATCCTTTAAATAAGATCTTTTTCTTTGGCAAGAATCATCATTATGAGTCAATTTAAATGATATTTTCTATCACTGGTTACAAAACACACTCATAGTAATTTATTTTACATTGTAACGCCTGTTTTACGCATGAAAAACGGGTATGCAATTTTTGCTGTGTAAAAGGTTGGTTATTTAGTGAATGTATTTTGAGTTATCACATTAACAAAGGATTGCAGTATTATATTATGCTTATTGTATTTACGTGGAGGCAATATTGTTCTACTGGGGCCACTGGTCACCAAGATTCGATGAGATTTTGAGTATGTTTGTATAGTAGAATCTATGATATCAAGAAATTCCATATATTCAACGTGGAAGTCCTTTGAATTATTTGAGGGAATTGAATCGCCACTGTATTTGATTCTCCACAAGCCCAGTTTGACTGAATGGAATTTAAATGTATAGCTTTACTATAGGTCAAGATTACAGGTGAGAGAACTTGGTGACCGGAGTCACAGTTTTACGAAGATATTTTTCAAGTTTTTTTTTCTCGGTCTTGAAGAGATTATCTGAATTTATATATCTTGAAAATTGAATTCAAAGCAAATATGAATGCAGCAAACAGACAAACTGAGGAGAGACAGGGAATATGAAAATTCTACTCCTTGACAGGTGCCAAATTTTCATGTGGGGAACAAAACAAATCTATAAAAGACCCTTTCAGTGCAAATAAGACGTACAACATCGGGAATTTATCAGAATATCAAAATAGAAATGACAATTGAAATACGTGATTATGTGTGTAATACTTGAACACTTGGCAAACAATAAAATCTCAAAAATCATCATAACTTCAAAAGTGAGTACGTGCTATCTGTACATACTGGCAATTGAAATTAAGTAATCGCCATTAAAAACTTTAAAGTTCTCTCCCTGTTCTTGTTTTATTGTACATTCTATTATATACCTTTACTTCTTCGAATGCTCTAGGCTATAATAATTGACAAGCATCTGCACGGTACATGTACCAAATACTTTAGGTCATCGATCGTCAGTATATGTTGTAGATAAATAATATTGTATAGTAGCCGAAAATTTAACTAAAGAAAAATGTAAAAAAAAATCAAATGGCCTTGGTTCGCAAGTCTTTGAAATGATAAAAATAGATATTTTAACAAATCCATAACAGAAGGTACACAATTGCAATATGTTTTTGAAAAAAGAGAAGATACCAAGAGGTCATAAAAGTTCAAATAAAAATAAGTCATTGTCAATAGAAAAGACAAAAAGACAAAAAAAAAAGTAAACCACTACACAGAAAACTAGTGATTGCGCAAGGCGAGCCCACCAACTCAGGTTGCCGAGGTTCGACAGATAAGTGTGGTAAAATCGTATTTCGAGAGGAATGGATTTCTGCCTAAATTCGAACGTCAGAAAAATTAAATTGAAAAAATTGGATTCACTCGTATATTGATAGTCTTACTGGTATTGGGGACATCGTCCTAAAATGTCTTCGTCCATATCTTTTCTTAGCCAAACACATAAACAAAACAAAAAAAAGCAAAGGCAAATTCTTTAAAAGCTTAGTTTGTTAACAACTTAACCATAGAGTTATGGATAAGAAAACACCATTCTTCTCAGTCGAATAACAGATCAACATGAAAATATCCTTAAAATTGGGCTTCAAGTTTTTACAACTTTGATTTGACTATTTACTTTATTACACTCTTAAAGTCTGGCTAGGGAAAGAAACATCCTTGATTATTCTTTGGTGAAACTGTTATCATTTTGTTATTTGCTTATCTTGGCATAAAGTTGAAATATCTATGAATAAATAATAAGGTTGTAGGTGGTTCCTTTCGTAAATGAAATATAACGTGTGAATAAATTGACGATACTGCAATTACGGTGAATATTGATTCACGACTACTATTATTCCGACAATCGTATGTGCCCTAAGTAGTACTTCTGAGGAATAAGTAAGTGGCTTTTATATATCATACGGCATCATCAGAAAGACTTTTCCACTTTATTTATAGGAATGAAATACCATGTGTAATAGAGAGTATTGCTGCAATTATTCCGGAACGTGATGTCCATCTTATAGATTAATCTGTTATATTTGTCAGGTTTCGTAGCTGTATCGAAGTGATTTATTCAACAATGACATTTCGTTTATCGAAGTCTATTGTAAACAAAACAAAATTACAAAATAATACGTCTGATACAATTTATTACTACCAACTTGAAATTATTTCTAAGAAACAGACTATCTATTGACCCAAGGTTTCGGGTTGTTGGTCCTAAGTTGTTAAAAAAATGAAAACAACACGTTATAAATTTTATGCGTCCGAAGCTCTTTTCTGGATGAACCTTCATCAGGAATATTGAAAGCCGAATATTGAAAGCCAAGGATGTACGAAAACGTAACAGTTGAAGAGCTATATTACCAAAAAGGACCTAAAAATAGCCAAATCCATCTAAGGTCAACTTTGCCTAAGGGAGTTGAAACCTTAGTTTCTAATAATTTCAAAATTTATTACCGGATAATTTTAGGAAGGTTTGTTATAAATCATGTCAGTACCGAAGTACGGACTACTGAGCTGATGATACCCTCGGGGACTGATAGTCCACCATCTGAGGTATCGACCCAGTGCTGTAAAAAATGAAAACAACACGTTATAAATTTTATGCGTCCGAAGCGGTTTTCTGGATTAAACTTCATCAGGAATGCTCAAAGCCGAATATTTGTAAGCCAGGATGTACAAAAACCGAAACAGTTGACGAACTTTATTAACAAAAAGGGCCTAAAAAATAGCCATCTAAGGTCAACTTTGCCTGAGGGAGTTGAAACAATTTCGAAATTTATTACCGGATAATTTTAGGAAGGTTTGTTATAAATCATGTCAGTACCTTAGTACGGGCAACTGGGCTGATGATACCCTCGGGAATTGATAGTCCACCAAGCCTAGGTATCGACCCAGTGCTGTAAAAAATGAAAGGTAGCCCTATCAAAGTTGGTGCAAGATAATACTCCGAACACTAAGAACATCAACCAATGGTTGTTTAAGGAGTTTATACGAGGCTTTCCTGTGCGTTAGATTTCGTTTCAACACATAGTTACATCTGGTAGGTCTCCGTTTAAGCTTCGATTAAATGTACATTGACGTTTAATCATCTATCAAAAATAGTGTAAATTATCTTGTGAAGAAGTATGCAGAAAGAGGGTGCACCGGGATTGTAATAAAAGATTTCATTTATGTGTTGAATCTTAATTAAAAATATATTCTTTATTTCTTATAAAAAAATGTTTTAATATGTAGAAGTGTGTATTGAGTTTTAGGTTGAATGTCTTTTCAAACTAAATGTTCATTGTTTTAGTACATTAACGAATAAGTGAAAAATATACGTCACCAAACAAATATGAAAATAACATTAATTTGTCGGATCAAGTGAACTTAAATTTTGAAGTGTCTGATATAGATTTTTCATTGAGAATAAAACAATACAAATAATAAAACTGTCATTTGTTTTCCAAGGAATCGAATTTCTGACCACAGGAAAGTTCCTTGCTATTAAAAGTGATACCTTCACCGTCCATTTTTTGCGTTTTCAAAACCATCATAATGGTAGTTGATTTCAATTTAAGAAATGTAAGTCAACTGAAGCATTAATACAGCATGTACAAAATTATTATGAAATAATTTTGCGATGTTTTTCATTGTTGTTGTTTACAGTAATATAATAGAAAAAGAAACATTGCTTTATTTACAAAATATATACATTGGGTCATAAATTTCGTGGTCCTTTCACTCAATTATATTCTTATTTAATGTCCATTAGTAACGTTCTTTTGTATACTTTATCGTAATTCTGTTACTAACACTTGTCAATATTCACATGTTTTTAAAGCATTTGTTCGTTGATTTTGAATATTAGAACTGTACATAACAGCATGAGTTTTACAAAACAGAAACAATGCAATAATTGCATTGATTTGTAGTGTATGGTACAATGTAATGTAATCTAATTGAATAAAAGTTTGGCATCAGCATTGAAGGTGTAGTAGCTCTTCTCCTCCTCGTAAAGAATTGCACCGATACTCCAGCCTGTAATAAATAAGATAAACAAACAATTGAATAAATGTTCAGAGGTAAAGCTAGTATCGTTTCTGAAATTACCCAACTATTCGTAAGCATGTCAAAACCAAATAAAGAAATGTGATAGATCAATCCATATTTTCATTTCATTTGTTACGAAATTGGCATCATGAAAGCCATTATTTTGCCGCTGAAATAAAAAAAATGATATCAAATTTTTCAATACTTTTAGTATTGTACCAAGTTCGAAATCATTGACAAATGAATAGGGTGTGGTCTGGTCTTTTGCTAAAATGTAATTTTTGTGGCACTTTGTCATGTCCATGTCCATTTTAGGGTTTGGTATACTATTGTTAATTATAATAAATGGTTTAGGTGATCTATGAAACCTGGGTATCCAAATTTTTGAGAATTTTTTCCTGTACAGAATGTTATTGAATGAACTACTTTTCTAATTCACGTAATCGAGAATTAAAGGCGGAGGTTTGACATTCAGAAGGAGGCTTGGTATTAATATTGATTTTGTTATCAGTAAATTAAAATCGAACTAAATATTATTTTTTATACATATGCACATTCATGGCTCTGCAATCTGTCGATACCTGTATCTTGGTATTGTACAAGGTCATGTTTTTCTCCGACTGTCTATGACGTCTTTACACTTAATCCATTGGATCTTGGATGTGTACTGATTGATATTTGAACAGAGGTATACTACTGTTGCCTTTTTTTGTTGTGGGGATGTATAAGTACCCGTCCACATCCTCTCTGTGTTTTTGTTATATGTTTTTCTATTTGTATACATCTGATGAGTTAAGCCTTTTACAACTGATTTTTATAGTTTGTTCTTATGTTGTACTGTTACACCATTGTCCCAGGTTAGGGGAGGGTTGGCGCCCTCAAACGAGTTTAACTCCGCCGCATTCTGTATGTGCCTGTCCAAAGTCAGGAGCCTGTAATTCAGTGGTTGTCGTTTGTTACTGTGTAACAGATTTGTTTTTCGTTCATTACTTTGTACATAAATTAGACCGTTAGTTTTCTCGTTTGAAATGTTTTACATTTGTCATTTCGGGGCCTTTTATAGCTGACTATGCGGTATAAGCTTTGCTCATTGATGAAGGCTGTACGGTGACCTGTAGTTGTTAATTTTCTGTGTCATTTGGTCTCTTGTGGAGAGTTGTCTCATTGGCAATAATACCACATCTTCTTTTTATATTGTATATCCGCGCCACATACCCATATGGCTTGCCAAATTTAGGATTCTTTGTCTTATCATATCGACTTATTGCTGTTTTTTATATTCAGAACAAGGTGCTGATGGTAGATCTTTTCATACTTTTTTTATCCATTTAGTTTTTATTACACTGCGGACAATTGATATGGCTTAACCAAGACACCCGTCAAAAACTGATTTTATCCACTATATTTCTTTTGTTTATTCATGAGGATTGCTGGAAATTGATGTAGACCTCGCATATCTTTATATTCATAAATACTGATGTTTTGAAATCAAGACAACTTTCATTAAAGAGTTTTAGAAAACAAATTAGAGTAGAAATCAATAATGCAAGGTGCAATGGTTGTGTGTGTGTGTGTGTTTTTGTGTATATGGAATAATTTTGGCTTTATATTTTGTGTTAAAATTCATTTTAATAATAATTATCATTTTTTTGATAAAGTTCGTAGCTTTCAGATCCTACACAAGTTTCATCAATCTTCAATCCCTTAATGTAAATACAAAAATATATATAAAAAACTGGCTTGCATGAAGACAATTAACAAGTGACATAAACAACAATTCTAAAAAAAAAGTTACAATTTATTTTTTAATCCTTTACGTGTAACCATTGTAATGAAAGTGTTAGCACTGTAAAATTCAAAATATTTTTTTACGATCTTAATCTGCCTAATCTATGGTTAATGTTCCGTTACATTAATTATAATGACCAAAGCCAAAAATAACGTCGCTCTATGTCTGATGCTGTAATCTAACAATGTCATGTATAACACTGCTCTATAACAAGTTGTATAGTTAATATTCATTAGTAAGTACAAAGAAATTCAAGCTGCGGTTTCAGCTAGATAATTCAATTTAGTTGATGTCCTATGTTTTACTACATCTATGACACTCATTAGTGGTTGCTAATTACGCAAAGACTGATTAACAACCCTAATTAATTGGCCTTCCTTTCATGTATGTTGAACAAAACGTCGATCCACTTTGAAACAAACGCTTGCTCCACAGGCATATATCAATAGTTAAAGGATCATTACATCAAAATAAATTGATAATTGACTGATCTAAAGAAATAAACTGTTTGAGCACGAGTTAATACTAATTACTAGCATGCGAGTGTACATCCTAACTTCTACAATAGAAATTCAAAAGGAAACACATTTAAGTGCAATTGCCTCTATCAGAGTGTATTAGAATGCTATCATAGTAACACACTGAATATAACAAAAAGGGTTTAGTATTGCTTGGTATGATTTATAATTGCCTCGTTCGATGTAACGGCAAGCAGACTGACGTTAAAACAAATGCTGATTATATTACAATCTTATATAAATGTAAATTATAAATAAACTCATCATAGATAGTGTATGGTCATTGATAAGAACGACCGTATAGCGGTACTGTATGTATTAATAAGTAGTCACATGCCGTCAGAATGGGATAACGAAATCTGATGACTCTAGCTGCAAGCCTTAACCACAACTCCTCTTTGACTAAATTGGTCAATGTTTGTAACCAAATTTCTTAGTGACACTATCCACAATTTTTGTTTCAAATATATAAAATAATTGTTGGTCGGGAGTTGCCAGTCTGCTTTGGTTAACAGTACACCCTGAAACAATAAACATTAAAAACAATAAAGTTCTCCTGGTTAAATCTAACCAGAAATAAACATGTGTTTTTACGGTTTCTTCAACATGATTATTTACATACCGATCTTAACACCATTCAGTTTCCTCTTCGCAAATATGTTTTCGGTTTCCATGTTAAAGCCCAAAGCCTTAAGTAGTTTTGGAATGTAAAGGCCATTCTGACAATCAAACGAAGCCCATCTAGCAGGAATGTTAAATTTGGCTGCAGCTTCATCTAGAGTCTGTAAAACAAGAACAATGTTTAATGCACTGTAGAACTTTTACCATCAATAGAACTTTTAACATATACACATAGCTGTAGTTGTGTACAGTCAATACTTTTTTTTACAAATATTTTATCACAAACGTGGATTGTCTTTACTTGTTCTGAGCTAAATATGAAAATAATAAAATGAAGTTTGATTGCCAACAAGAAAAACTTTCCACCATAGATCAAATGACGTTAAAGTTGACCAAGTTCATTTTTTTTTTAAAATTTGTTCTATAATATAGTACCCAAATTTCCTGTAAACTTCGTCAACCTCGATCGTATTTTCACTACTAATATTTATTTAAATACATGAAAGACTCAACATTTCCGAATCGATCAAAAATGTTGCACGCAAAAACATTTGCATTTTTACGTCTAGTACGCTCATGAAAGTTTCCGTACGCATATGTTGCACTTACAAAAGATACGAAAAATGATAAAACTACCGGAACAAGAGCTATAATCGCTGTTTGTGTAAGGTGTTCGGAAAAAAGAATAACAAAAAAACCGAACTCCAAGGTAAAATCAAAGAGGGAAAAGTCCATAAAAATTGACAAAATCAAACGTTATCAACCAACGGAAAAGAAAGGAGGGAGATAGATACCAAAGTAATATTCAAACTCATAAATCAAAGTCATACTGACAAAGCCATGGCTAATAACTAAAAACGAGACAAAAAGTCTACTAAACACTTTGGAAGAATTACACGTAGGGTTTAAGAGTATGCTTTGACATTACAAGATATGAGCTGTCAATTGACAGCAAACTGAGTTTTTTTTTGTATTTTGAAGGCACTGTCAAGCTTGTTTGACTTGCCACGTTCTGAGCATATTTTCAAATCTTTCCAGGACCATAACTCCTGAACGGCAAAAATGAAAATTATCAATTTGAATTTGACCTTCATTTTGTCATCAGTAAAAACATATTAAAAATTTGAAACGCCTTGGAATAACGGTTCATAAGTTATTGCACGGAAACGACATAAAGTGTAATTTTTCAATATGTCAAGGACAACAAACCCTGAACGCTACTAGTGAGAACCGTAAATTTTAAACTTGACCTCAATTATGTCATTATGAACAACAAATTCAAATTTGAAAAGCATTCGTTGTATAAGTTATTGCACGGAATCTGTTGGCACACCGCCGTACTGAGACAAATTAATAAATAGATTTTTTCTCCGGAAACCCAGTAAAAATGTTATTGCATATTTTTGTATTACAATGACAAAACGATTATTGCGTAAATATTCAAGAATATTGTCCTTGCAGTACATCACATTGCACTCAGAAACTCTGACAATGTACTTTTTGCCATGGTAATGTTCTGTATTATCAACGGCTAAAACAGCATACTTACGCAGAGTTGAACTTAGATTGCAAGTGTTCTTTAAATTAATGATAGTTTTAATGTTTAGGAAATAAGTTTTCTATATCAGTATCTCACCATGTGAATGGCAGAATAAGAGTACAAATGAAAGTTTTTCAAAGAATTTGAATAAACTTCCTCTTTCCACCTTGATTATGTAGATTTTTTTCTTAGTTATTAAGTAAAAAGTTGTTAAATGTATTGTGCTTGGCTTTATAAAGAATGTGTTCAACAAATTAACTTATATATATCTTATATTGCATAAATGCAAGAAAACAGAAACAAAGAAAAAGAAACTCGAGACGGCATTGGATTCTTTGTGTCTAAGGGTTGCTGTTTTGTTGGCGTATACCCAACACCTCCTCATACCTCATAAACAAAAATAAACCAAATGAAAGAACAATAATCCGAATTGTAAAAATAAAACAGACTAAAAACTAATTTAACAAAGCAAAGCAAAGGGTCTACATGAAGAATAGTACGACTTATTATATAAAACATAACAAAAAGTTAAAAAAAAGTAACAAAAATAAACCAAACAAAAACAACGTGCTAAAAACCAAAGAATTACGATTCGACCGATAGCATTACCAATTCAAACGTAATAATTTTCCTAAGTTGAACATTGGAACTAGAAGTCAATCAAAGTTATGTCATTCATAGTTTCCAGTTTGAATACACCTTATATAAGTACATTTTGCTGAATTTTGATTGGTTCATAGCGAGTGTATTTTAATTATGATATATCTATTCAAAAGTGTTTTCTCTTTCTTCCGATGATAAATACATCTCTGTTATACACATGCATTTCTCAATACTCCATGCTACATCCCGGCTGCACAATTAATATATTGTTGGGCTGATGTTTAGACGAGTTGTATATACAGAATGTACACAGCCATGTATCACCATCACTGCTGGTGATCCGATGGATAAATCTGTTGTAGAGTTTTCACTGGTTCAGACGTACTTATAAATATAATTATTTCTGTGACTTGCATTAATTTGTAGGATCCTTTACAATAGATATTTCAGCCGATCTGTAACTATTCCAACTTCATGCCTTATATATCATGTACTGTATTACGACGCTAGATTAAAACTAACGAGGAAAGGTAACACCCGGCCACCGAAAGCTTTATTATTGTGAAGCCTAGGTGGTCGGGTGGTCTAGCGCGTCGGATACAGTGCAGGCGAATTGGTGTCACGATATCTCTGTAGCATGAGTTCGAATGCCGGCGAGGGAAGAACTAAAAATTTGCGAAAGCAAATTTACAGATCTAACATTGTTGGGCTGATGTTTAGATGAGTTATATATATATATATATATGAGATTTGTGTTGGAGTTGCGTGAATCAACTGATGATTTTATTCTTTTCGTTTATCTTTACTTTTCTTCCTAAGAAAGGTTGTCTACCCCTGATTCTACCTGTCTTGATAAGAGGTGAGCACAGATCATATTTGAATGAGTACTTAAATTATGATTAATGTTAACAAGAATTATCTGTAATCGGTTATAAAATAGGATGGCAAAACAAACACTTAATCAATAAATATCTTACTGTTTGGCACAAAAACAAATAGTTTTCAATAAATTATTCCACAGAGATAATGCCGAATTATATAGTCCAAGGCTTAAAACACCATGCTGGTAGCTTTAGAAAATCTGAGATTGACTTTATAGTATAATTATTAGAAAACTAAAAAAAGGTTAAAGTAAACATCCAGTATTCTCATTCTGTACAATATCAAATCGATGAATTTTCAAAAAGCACTTTCAGAAAAAGTTAAGTGATTTGAATTAAGGTTAATTTCAATCGCTTATTGCAAACATTTGCAAGTCATCAAAATATTGAAAGAGATGATTCTAATATTTGCTCCTTCGTGTTTTCTGTCCATGATTCGATATTATTACGAATAAAATGTCATAATTAAGTTTGACGACATTCGCAAGAAAACGAATATAAATGATCATTGTAAACACTATGACATTCAAGTTTGAATGAAATAAAAAAAAAATTGTATTATAACTTATAAAAATTCATTACGTCAATCACATCCCGATTTTATTCAACCGATATTACGTGTTTTCAGATCTATTAAAATGTACTTGTTGGCTTTATAATGATAATGCAATAAAAAATTTGAAGAATAAATTCTGCAAGCGAAATTATCCCTTCAGGACATATATAAAATTAAACAATATTTATTGTTAATATTATTAATGTTGTTTTCCAGTGTAAAATATTTAATATATGAACAATACTAGATGTTATACTCAAATCAGTCAGCAATCTAGTCACAGAATTGAGATGTCCGAAGGAAACTAATCCTAATGAAAATGACATACTATTCATCATTACAAAATATACCCAGAATTCATGGAATCACAATATTTTACACACTGCTATTATATGTCTTTCAATTTTACACCCATCAACACGACTAAAGGAACTGATCCCGGATTAAAAAAGTACAGACAGGCGTAGACAACCGCCGAATTTGAAAAGCTGTTTAATAAATGATGTTTTTTGAGAAAATGCGGAGGTACAAAGATGCGTTGAACCATCTTCCAAGAAACGTAAGTCAACATACTATTATGGGATCTTTTGATGTGCTAAACATGTAAACCACAATACCACACAAATATGGATTAGAAGCAAAACCTCCTTCCGAAGTATCAGATCGGATGGAGAAGACATTTATCATTGAAGATACAAATGCATAAACTTTATACTTCAAAATAATTATGTGAATTTAAAGGTCACTTTATAGAGAGATACATGTATTAGGTACAGCCATGGGAACAAAAGTTGTCCCAAGTCATGCTTAGGAGTCTCATTCAAAATTTGTACGATCACAAAAAATAACTGAATTAAATTGGATTAAAAAATTACAGACAGTCTATCCTCTCGGTCTTAACGACAATATCATGGGAATTGGTAATATATCTAGAACAGATTCTGTTAACATTTTGGATATAGTTTCTAAAACAGTACGTAAAACCGTTCTCATGGGCGTAGAATAAATCGCAATCAAAGAAAATTTCGTAATAACAATACAAATATTTCGAACCTAATTTCTATTTCAAAAAACAGCGGTAGACACTATCTACTAACCAAGCTCTGTTCTTTGTCTGTTAATAAATTACATCATATTTTGGAGGAATGCAACACAATTCCATATTGCAGTCCTAAATATGAAATCGTTCAAATTATAATTGCATATTGTTATTCTAAATTGTTTCCCAAAATTGATCGCCCTGAAAGTGTGTAAAGATGTTAATATCAGTGACAATACACCTACCTCATGAAATTGCAGTAAATCCGAATACATTTATATGTTATAACAGGAGACCTTAACATCGTTCGTGACCGAGAGTTGAAATCATTCCTCAGTAAAGGACCTAAATATCGCCCCTGTCAATTATTAATTGGAATGAGTGTCGTAACATCATCCACGACTCACTCCGTACTTACTGCTCTAAATGGATAAAACGAAAAAAAGCTGACAAGAAATCATTAGATTCTTTTTTTTAATTCGGTAATGAAAATAGTTTATATACGTATTCAACATTTTAAAGATCATTTTACTCCTATCAAC